TCTCTCTCTCTCTCTCTCTCTCTCTCTTCGAAGCGATAAATCGTGCAAAACCAAGCAAGAAATAATCTCTCGTGAAGAATATATCCGTTTAATAACGAGAGGTTAGCATACAGTCGGATATTAAAGTCGAGTTCACTTTATCGAAATGGCCGGTTTACAAACTGCACTATCAGTATAACTCATAGCAGTCCTAAAACCGCACCATAGTAATAAAAGCCGGCCCTCGTCTTAATCATTGATATTAGTCCCTTGCCTGATCCAACCTAAAACTCGGCAAATATTATGGAAACTTGCATCATCGATAAGTAAATTATTCATTATATTGACGTGTATATGCAGGTTATGATGAATTATAAATTTATACATATGTACATATATATTGAATAATTCTAATATTTTTAGTTCAAATTAATGGAACAGAGCCAATTTTGAAGGTTAAATTTTAAATTATTAAAATTTTATTAATTATTAATTACTTTAAATGTTAACATATAACAAATCAAACTTAATTTTTTCATATAGATACTATTAATTGGGTCAATCTTTACCAACTAAGTATTAATTTAGTAATTTTAAAAATCTTCATATAGAGCTGAATCTAATAATCCAATATTTTCTAAATATTAATTCTTAAATATCACTCAAAATCATCTTATAACTCATTTTTTATTCAATAATTTTATCAAATTAATAATATTTAAAATCACGATTCTTAATATTTTGTTAAACAAACGAAGAACATAAATATACGCTTGAACGTTAAATATTAATTAAAAATATAGTCGTATGAACGTTTCTTTTGAATACTATAAATTCAAAATGAATAATTTAGTTAAATAATCGTATTGTTTGAACGACTTGTAAGTCCACCATACCAACAACATCAGAATTGCGTTGCATCTGCAAGCGCAATTTCACGTATAGTTATTATGGAATGAAGGGAATAGAGGAAAAAAGAGAAGAAAAAAGAAGAGAAAAAAAAGAGAAACAATGGCATGGAACGACACGGAATGCGGAAATTTAATTAGTAAACTGCAATTATGAACATCACACTCATGAGTTTTGCATTACACGATAAAGGAGGACCTTGTAGTTGTACGTTTACTAAAAACTTGGAATTGCAAACTCATTGCCATTTTGCATTCATCATTATTTGTGAATGAAATTGTTTATCTTCTCAAATTAAATTTAAACAGATAATCTCTCTATCACTTTCTATCATTTTTATTATTTTTCATCATGTCTGAAGAGTTTTTCTTTTGAACCTAACCTAATTTTCTATATCAGCTATAAATCTGCGATTCAACTCAGTAGATTAAATTTTTAATCAATCGGTATCAAAAAAAATCAAAAATAATAAATATATCTAAATATCTATATATCTAACATATATCTAAACAAGTCAATTGAAATATTTATAAATATATTATAATATAAATATATTAAATTATTTATATATATATTTTTACAAAACAAAAATTCTTTTCAAATATATATAAATGAAATAATAATATATAATTTTATTCAGTTCATATAATATATATATAGTGACTATAGATTATCATATTTTTTATTATTATTAAAACTTTTTAAATT